TAACATTTTTACATTGCACTTTTAAAACTGCTTTATCACAGTAAATGTATTTACTTATAGAAGTAATTTATAATGTCCTGTCTAAAGCCGGTGGCTTTATACCAATAACAAATATGAATGTATAGTCTAAATCACCTGTGTTGTTATTGTTATTGGGTGCCAATCATTCAGTGGGTTTAGGATCACAGTTAAAAAAATCTTTTAGCCCTGGTTAATAATGCATTAATGAGAACCTGAGGCACAGAGCTGGCCCACAGCTGTCTTGTTATTTTTGTTTATAAGTCTTAGTTTGTCTACTAAATACAAAATTCTGCGGCAAAAATGGCACTGATCTTAATTTAATTAGAAACAGAACAGAAATATACAACCCAAAGTCTATCACTTATTTGTGGTTTTATACAGTATATGCAGCTTGGACAGAATCAGGATTTAATCTTTGTTTCTTGTTTTCCAGGTTTTATCTTTGGAATTCAGATCTTCATATAAAAAGCAGGTTTTTACTGAAGCTGTTGTTTACAGCAATAGAGACAGAACACGAGACAGGAGAGAAGATGCTGGAGCTGTTGCTCAATGTTGTCCCTAATGGGGCTTACCCATTCAATGAAAGATTCAATGATGACCCTGATGATGATAGTGATGGTAAAGATAACTCTGACTTCCTGCTGGATCTTTACTCCCAGCTGAAGGATCATGAGACTAAAACAGGTCTGAGTCTCCTTCCATCATTACAGTCAGTTTTCCAATCAGCTCCGCCAGTCTGGATCATAGACCTCTCAGAGAGAAAGACCTCCATCCTCCTGGAAGTGTTAAAGCTCCAATTAGAGAAGAAACCAGTGGAGCTGACAGACAGAAACTGCTCATATGATGTGGATGACGACAGTGAACTGAAGATTTTCCTACAGTTTCTGCCTTATATCTCATGTTTCAGGTACAGTGATTTAAATTTTTGCTGTCACTTAAGTTCAAAAAGCTCTGATTGTAAATATTACCCTCAAAACTAACAGTATTTTAATTAATAGCTCAACAAATAGTAACACTGTGCACCTACTGTAGTATTCTTCAATAATGTCTGATAGTTCTGAGTTTTTCTTTACAGCCAATGTAAAAGACTTAGAAGACAAAAAAAACTTATACATACTTGTATTTATGTCCATATTTTGAAGACATCAGGAATGTATTTTATCTCTCCAATACCAGGAAAACAGTCATAATTATTTGGATTTGTACGGTAATCTGCTGATGATTTTCATAATGTGCTTTAGCACAGGAAGCCAAATAAGTTGTTAAAGAAACTTACATTTTTAGGCATGATTTTTCAAAATATTTAATTTGCTTTTATCAATGATCACAATTTCTGATTGGCTGGCCACAACCATTTAGTCTGTTTGTATCTGGTGTTGTGATATTTTACCATTGTAATATGAATATATTATTAACTAGAACTGGAGGTTGTAGTTAACAAGTCATTCAAAATTAAGGGTAAAACCATTTAATTAATATTAGTTTAATGATTATAACTGCAACTCACTAACCAAGGTCCTTGGTCTTTGGCCTCCAAGATTAGATTCCTGGATTGGCTGTAAAATCCATTTGTTTTCACCAATTTAGCAAAATAGACTGTGGCTATCAGCAGAGTTATTAGGCACCAACTAAAGAAATCTGTCTCTGTTTATTCAAATATTACTGAGGAGGGTGAGTCTGACCTGAATGATAAATCATTTGCTGCACAATAAACACAATCTACTACCCGTAAAAATATTGATGTCTTTAAACACTACACACTACTAGAAAATAAACACGAGGTATATCAGATAAATTATTTGTAAAGAGGGAAAATGGGATCTAAGAGTCCTTGGAAAGAATTTCTCAGGGAATGTCAACAGGGCTGCGAACTTTTGACCAACTTTTGGAGTGAGATTTTTAAAGAATTTGGCCAAGCAATCCTTGTCAGGGTTCGATGATGATAGGAGCAGCCTTTGGGTTTTTTAGAGGATTTAACTGAAACAAAGTAGTAAAATGTTGAATTCTTATAGAACAGTTAATGTTACTAAGTAACAATAAGTGCCCTGTAGTTAGGTGGAAAATATTTCACACAATATGCATTATTTCTATGTTCTGGTGATTTTACGAAAACTGAAGTATAGAAGTATGGGCCCTACTAAAATACTTTCATCTTAAATATACTGTAAACTAAGAATTTCACAACTGTGTTTATTAAATGTTCGATGCAGTTCAAGTGACATAACCTAATAAGTTATTATTGGATTACTGACACTAATACAGGAGCCACTGAAATCCAATTTTTGTGCAAATTACACAGTGTATGAGTATTTGGTAACAGGCTAAGGATTAAAAATCTGAACTCATTATCTTATTAGATTTTTAGGGGGCTGTATATTCTATATATGAAACTCACCATAACACAAGACAGCACTTCTGTGGATGTTTAATTTTGGTAGTTGTGATTTTAGACATATTTAATGGACAAAAATTAGAATAAAATGTTGTTCCTCTTATATCAATCCTGGATAACAGAGTTGTTCTGTACATCCTTTCTGTCTTATGTGGTAGGTATTTTTCTTGGGTGGCTGTGCAATGGTTCTTTTTCTTTTTGTGGACATCCTATGGGTTTGTGAAACATACCTGAATGTGTTAGGAATTTAGATATTTGTATTCAGCTAGACAGAGCAATAATTATATTACTATTGAGCAAAACATGAACTAAAACTGGGACTAAATCAGGTGGCTAAATTAGAGCAAAAAGCAGTAAAACTCACTAAAAAAAGCACCAGATATAGAGAAAACAAAGCTTTTGATTAAATCTTACAGTCTCCACATTGATAATTTAAGCTAGTTGCTGTATATGTTATTCATGTTAATCGAAGTACTAGATTGATTATAATCTTCATAAATTTACAAAGTGAATTATCCTAGTCCAGATAACATAAAATTCAAATGACATACCTCGCAATAACTGCTCAGAAATCCCAGCATTTTTTCAATATCTGGCTCAGGTCCTTATTCACGCTGCATGTTCCCGTTCTCCCCAAGTCCATACTTTCCTGTATTCTTGTCAAGAACATACTTGGGGAAGAAACGAGTCTGTACTCGCATTCAAGAGTTAAAAAAAAACACAAAATGGCTGCCCTTACCACTATTGATGGGAGTAACGCCGTTACCTTTTTTTAGTAATGAGGTAATCTAAATAATTACTTTGACTGTAACTATAACACAGTTACCATTGCCAACACCCCGTTACTGGACGTTACTCAGGTCCCATAATTAACCTTTTTTTTTCATGATAGGACTCGTGCACTCCTTGTCATGATAGAGGGGAGGATGAGATTGTCTGATGTATAGTGAGATTATGTCTGTCAGTTTGGTAGGTGGGTGTTTCTGCTGGTGGGTGTTAACGTACAGCACACACAGAGAGATGGAGAGTGAGGAGGCCTCCAGCAGCAAAACAGCGTTTTCCAGATGGAAATATAGGTGTAACGTCAAGCTGCGTTTCACCATCAGATACGGTTTCCCCTGCATCTCCGCACATTGCAGGCGGTACGATTCACCGTGCAAGCGACAGGAAACGCTCATGCTCCCCTGTGCTCGCGCCACAGGGGAACTACGGAGAGCGTGAACGATTTAATGTTAGCCTGTATGGAGATATCTGGATGTATGTATGTATGTATGTGTGTGTGGGTGTGTGTGTAGGTGTGTGTGTGTGTGTATGTATCTATGTGTGTATGTATGTATATATGTATCTATCTATCTATGTATCTATAACAACCCAAACACACAGGATTTCAGAATTAGACATCCCCAGTTATTAATTTCATTCACTCACCAGATCTGAACGCCCTGTTAAAAAATCTTACACCTATGAGTAGAGGTAATGCAGCCTGAGAATATTTACACCGCATCAGATACTGTTAAGCAGGGGGAGCGCTATCTGACAGGGTTTATAGGCCTGTCAGATAGCCCCCCTCCCCCCGATGTCATTTATGTTGAGTTGCAATAAATGCAAAACTCTCTGCAGGTTCTTGTCTTTGTCGTTCTCTCTATTCAGCTGGCTTTGGAAACACACTGCGAGAAGGTGGGGCCTGGTGGTGAGGGTTACGGGGACGAGAAACGCAAAAGTAATGCAATAGTTACTTTTACTAGTAACTAGTTACTTTTATTGTGGAGTAACTCAGTAAGTAACTCAGTTACTTTTTGGGAGAAGTAACTAGTAACTAAAAACGAATTACTTTTTCAAATTAACGTGCCCAACA